GAGGGGGGGGGGAGAAAGTTTTTTTTTTAACTACTCTTTTTGTCTCGGGAGCGCGAAGAGAAGGTAGTTTGAGATGCATGGCCTTCTCTTGACTTGAAGGCCTTCTGCCTTCACTAGCAGAACAAATGATTTTTGGGAGATGATCCAACAATCCAGGGATCGAACATCTGGGATATGCTGTGGGTGCCCTCACAAAATGGCTTCCATGGGGGGAGAGGAGGAGGGAGGGGGAGAGGGAGAGAGGGAGAGAGATGTGGTTTTGTTCTCCATGGTCCCTCTTTAATCCTCTAGGATTCAGTCCTTGTTTTTCTCTGGAAATAAAAGAAGCCACTGAGTTGAATTCCTTGTAATGCTGTTCTCTTCTAAGGATGTCAACGGGGTACCTGAAGATTCAGGAAGCCTTTTGGTCAACAAAGATGCTCTTAGACAAAAGATGCTTTGAGGCAGGGCAGAAATTTTCAGAGGGTTCCAATCCATGTTCATCCTTTGCTTGAAAACCTGCAATGATGGAGCCCCCATGACTCTAGAAGGTAGGCAGTTCCACTTGGGATTGATGTCAAGCCATCCCAAACCAAGAAAGACACTCGGAGTTACCCCTGAGCAAGTTCCTTAATTGTTCCTCGCACAGAGACAGAAATCTTGCCAAACTAAAGCAAATTACTTGACCCATTAAAGAGATACTCTTAAGAATTTCTAGGAAGAAGCTGTCTTGTCTTACTTACTCCCAACCTGTCTCTTGGTCCTCTGCAATGCCACCTCTTGCTCTGGGGGAATCCAGACTATATTCCACTACAGTAGATGATTGTCCGATCTCACAGGTAAGTCAGAAGCACCCTGGACTGTGTCAAGCAAAGTTTCGATGACTCGTAAAAAGCAAACCACCTTTTCCTTTCCTTTTCTGCTTCTCAAACCTGCCTAGTTTGTGGCAGACTCTCCCATCTTTTCAATCTGTTACATTCTAGTGATCCAAGAGGCAGAATTCTGTCTCTTGCCAAATAATAATGAAATAAAAGTGTCATGAAGAAAGCTGGGTGTACTTGAAAACCGGCTGACAGAACAGCGATCCAGCCTGGAAAGGAACTCACATCTGATGCCTCTTTTCAAATTTGGCAATCTGAATTGACTTTCTTCTCTATCTCTCCCTTTCCACTGTCATCCACGTTAGCTTCGAAGCATATTCAAAAAAGGAAGAGAGAGAGAGAGAGAAAGAGAGAGAGAGAGAGAGAAAGAGAGAGAGAGAGAGAGAGAGAACCTAACCATCTTCTCTACCTCCCACACAGTTCAGCAGTGAAATCTATGCATATTTATCTTTATCATGCTTGGTGACTCCACCAAGCAAGAGGAAAAGAGTTGAATCTCCTGAACAGTTGATTTTACTGGTGAATTGCTTGGGTCTCTCTTCACCCTTTTCACATTTTCACGGACAGGACGTGAAATGGGTTGAGTTTTAAAGGGTTTCCTATCAGTTCAACTCCACCCGGAGCCTTCCAAAATGCCCAGATCATCCCTGCTGGTGGAAAACGATGATCTCTACGAAGATGTCAACTCAACCGAAGAGCCGGCCTCCTTAATGAGCAACCGAACAAGCCAGGAAAGCTGGCCTGAAGACGCTTCCCTTGGCGTGGGGACCCTCTGCGCTATTTACGCAGCCTACGCCGCCATCATTTCCATGGGTCTTCTAGGGAACATCATCCTGGTCAAAGTCTTCTTCAAGATCAAATCCATGCAGACCGTGCCCAATATCTTCATTACCAGCCTGGCTTTCGGGGACCTGCTCCTTCTGTTGACCTGCGTGCCGGTGGACGCTGCCTGTTACGTTGTGGATACGTGGTTGTTCGGACAAGTCGGCTGTAAGCTTCTGTCTTTTATTCAGCGAACCTCCGTGGGGGTTTCTGTATTCACACTCACGGTCCTCAGTGCTGACAGGTGAGTTTGGAGCATTTCACTGTCCGCGGAGGCGTTGTAAGAAATGAAGCTTCCTAGGGGTATGCTAGTCCATAGACTTGGCTGTCAAATGGACAGATCCAGCTATGTTCACAGCTTAACCCCTGCATTTGTTGTTTCTGTCTGATCGCTCCTGATCCTCACACAGTTGATAGCTGGGACATCTTTTGACCAGCAATGGATGTCAGTTCTGATGCGTGGGAGTGTGTGTTTGTGTGAACGTGGGCTACAGTTTGGAAGATTTGCTTTTCTAATGGAGCAAAATCACTGCTGTTCGGCATCTCCTTATCCTTCAGGCTGTTTCGGTGTTTAAAATGTTCCTTTTCATTTCCAACTAATGGAAAGCAAATGCGGCCGATTTTTTCCCCCACTCTTAAAGGAAGAGAATCGGGAAATTCTGAAGCAGATTCTTTAAAATTCTCTGCTAACGATTGAAAATGATAACTGTTTACCGTGTGGGTGATACCATTTACCATTAGCATTTTTCAAATGAATGAGCCAGAGAAAGAATAATGATATGTTTGAAAAACAAAATGCCTTGGGGGAAAAAGAAAGAATCACTGCTGTATCCTTGGTGCTACCTAGTGGTGTGAGAAAGGAATTTACAAAAAAAAAATGTGAAAATGAAATGCCAGGATGATGAGAACATCTCTGCGGCCCGTTGCCTAGGATTCATACAAGTTTTAAATTTTCTGGACCAAATCAATTGGCCTTTATTAAATTTGAGCAGTTCACAAGACAGGTACATTCGCAAAAAAATAATAAGTAGCGCCAGAGGTTCAGCTGTTGAATGTCTGGACCAGGGGAAGATGAGACGTACTCGTGGCTTGGAGGGTGGAAGTGTCATCAGAAGATCGTAGTGAGTAAAGTCACTAAAACTCGATGGTGTATTTTTCTTTCCTTGCACGTTTCAGAGTAAGACACGCAGAGAGATTGTGGTATAATCCCAAGAGAGACTCAAAAGGGTTCCAAGTAACACCCCCAACGAAAGAAGACTCCTCAAAGTTCCATTTTATAGCAATAGCAATAGCAGTTAGACTTATATACCGCTTCATAGGGCTTTCAGCCCTCTCTAAGCAGTTTACAGAGTCAGCATCTTTTCCCCCAACAATCTGGGTCCTCATTTTACCC